GGTTTTCTAGAAAAATATTCAGATTTTATTTTGTGGTTTTAAAGGCTCCACGTTAAAGATGGCAAGAAATAAAGACGTACTTTATTTATTTTGTTTTCCTGCCAGCTGCAGTCGCCCCTCTGCTCTCGGCTCCCATGCAGAGCTGTCGGCTAATGCTAATGCTCAGCCGCTCCCTCCAGTTTCAAACTCTTCTTATTAAAGTAAGAGAGAGCTAAATATAACTAAAATATTGGCTACCTTCACAGAAAAAGGAGCCAAGTCTATGAAAGCAATGTAGCAGTTTAGCTAGTTTTGATTTCCAACGCTCAAGGTGGCACTTTATCATGATTCAGCCAAAGTAATGAAATAACGAACTGTGAACTGATTTTTATTGTCAGTGTGTTTCTTCCTATTGAGCAGTGAAAGTAAATAAAAGGAGGTGCATGTCTTTTGCTTTAAGTATATACTTACTGGAGGGTTTTTTTTGTTAAGTGTTGCAGAGAAACAGCTAACAGCTAGCTCCTCACTTCAGCGGCTCTAACTGAGCCTGTGCCAGGCAGCTGTTGCTCCTTGAACCATTGTTCTAAAAATAGTGGGGAGGGGGGAAGGGGGCGACCTAAAAATTAAGACTTTTTTTTCTTAGATGAATGGCAAATTTAAGTCTTTGTTTGTTTCTATTGCCTTTTTTTTTTTACATTGATATTGTTTAAATACAAGGGTTTCTTTCATGATTTCTTTGGGGGGGCAATTCTAGACTTTTCCAAGATTGGGGAAGTCTTGGCCTCATCCCGGATTTAGCCTATGACTAAGAGGAGAATGCCAAAGCTCCTCAGGTTAGCGCTGGGCAGCGTGTAGAGATGTAAACGCGCATATAATTTTTGTTCACAAAGTTAAATCATTCTCATCACGCGCCTCTGAAAGCGCAACTACAACTAATTCCTGCACAACCAGAGCTAACGCGGCGGGGTTTAGACTCTTACCTTGATGTGGACTTCTCCAGAGAATCATAATTCCACACAGAGGGTTGATGTAAATATCCACACAGGTCAGTCTGTGTCCAGCTTGAGTGAAAGGAGGATCGGCGCTGAGGTAAACTCAAGCAACGACAGCGCGCGAGGAAAAGCGCAGAGGCGCCAACTGAGTGAATAAAATTAATTTTCTGGTTTGTCCATAAAGCTACACATCGAAAGCACAGCCTTCCGCAGTGTTCTATGTATCGCTCACGGGTATAAATACACCCCCTCCAGGCATCATTTAAAGGATGTTTATTGGTTCCCGAAATACGACAAAAACCCGGACATAATCGGCTGACCGAACTTGGAAAAATGGACGTTATGCTGCTAACACTTAGCTTTCATCAACAACTCAGGCGGAAGTGAGAGCGCTGCGCAGCGCAAATAAGAACATGGTTTAAATAGAATTTAACGAAGCTTCGAGGCATATAAATTTTCCTCTTGGAATTTTAATAATCGGGGTACTCGAATCATTCGAGGAATCGTTTCAGCCCTACACCACAGTGCACAAGGCCAAACTGGAGCTGCTGAGTAAGAATGCAGACCCTGGAGAACATCTGCAGTTTCCGGGTCAGGATCAGGAACACTGATGGCGGATTCCCCCAGGGTTCCGCCATCTTCTCTTCTTCAACTTGCAGTTGAACTGTTCGGAACCAGTGACCCATTTAAGGCGGCTCTTCTCACTGTATCAAGTCGGAGCATCACAGCTGCGGAGCTGGAACCCGGTTCTGAGGATCGGAGTCCATCCGGAAGCCGAGATCTCACTTCCTGCTTACATTTGCTGACGTCAATCTGAGCTAGACCCGCTTCAGATTCCAACATCTGTTACCATGGAAAACGATCCGAACCTGGTCATTCTTCAGGGCCGAACCGGATTTCTTTCTTCAGAGCCGAACTGGGTTATTCTTCAGACCGGAAGTCCTTACAGAGTGAAAACAATAACTCAGTTTTTCTGCTGAACCGGAACCGACCAGCAGATTATCCGAACTCATCTAAAAAGAGTCTGTCGGATCTCTGGTGGTCACCATGGCAACTGCAAAGCACTACTGTCCTGCTTGGGCCTTTATTGTGAAGGTCCACACCGGAACTGTGTCTGTGTATATCAGCTGGAGCTTGACGTCACAGGTGGCTGCAGCAACAATAGCTGCGGGTCCGCGTGAGGAGTAGAATCAGCCAGCTGATCCGGACCGACCCAGATCCGTCAGGATGTCCTTCCAGGTCAAGAAGAGACCCGCGGTACGTCCAACCCGAACCGAACCGAGCCGAGTGCAGCCGAGATGGGACCGGGCCGGTGATGCTGAAGCTCCGCCTGTCTGACAGGGAGGAGACCCACCGAACTGAGAGGATGTGTGCAGCTTCTGGGCCGCTCAGCTCATCTTGACTGAGCTCTTTTTGTTTCGGTCCGAGATGAAAATCTGGGTTCTGCTGTATGCAGCACGCTGCATTCAGGGGCAGTGGGACGTCTCATGTTCCTGCATTGAAAGCTGATTTTCTGGGTTCCGCTTATTTGGTTCTGCAGAGCTTCAAGGTCTAGTTTTATTTTTAGCCTCATGTCAGAACCGTTCTCCAATCAGAGAGGTTGGTTCGGTCTCGGCAAAGAAACCAAACCAAAATCATGGAGACTTCAGGATGTTTTCCCCAGACCGGTTCCCCTCTGGATCAGTCGCCCCCCTCTCGTGGCCCGGTTCCGCCCTGGCCCGGTTCCCTCCGTGATGAGGCGTTTCATCCAATGGTTGCAGGTTAGCTCATGATGCTCAGAGGTTCCAAAAATAATCGGCATTCCCTGGCTCTCATGAAAGCTGCAGGTTTAGATGATGAAACGCCTCATTGAACCAGTCTGGTTCAATCTGTTTTGGAAGTTCTGGATTAATAGTTTATCCTCCTCAGAGAGGAGAATCCTGGTACAGGTTAGATATGGTCCCCGTTCACCTCAAGAATCTCATCTCTGATGTTCTTCCAGCTCACAGAGGACATGCTGGATTCAGGAAATCTTGTCTTTAGATCATCAAGTTCCTGAGCTTCCTGGTTGGTTCCTCCAACATCTATCTTTCATTGTGAACGTCCGTATGAAGACTTAAGTCACATTGAGTCGGACTGGGTGGTGAACTGGGTTGTGTTGTGAGCTGTGTTCTTTTGGGTCACCTTGGGTCAAATCGAGAATCGTGGATGTCATCAGCCATCTCTTCCTCCTTCGGATTTCCCCACAAACCTCTCCGTTTCTCTGTTTCCAGGGAGACTGTCTCCTCATCAAAGGAGGAAAAGTTGTCAATGACGATCAGTCGTTCTACGCCGATGTCTACATTGAGGACGGGACTATCAGGTACATCTTCAGCCAGTTCTCCTGTGGCTGGATGATCTCACCTGGTCACCAGGTGTCAGTGTGAGCTCCTCTGACATGATCACACTTCCTGTTTCCTGACAGGCAGATAGGCGAGAACCTGATTATCCCATCTGGTGTGAAGACGCTGGATGCGTACGGTCAGCTGGTGATCCCTGGAGGCGTAGATGCCAACACCAACCTCCAGGCTCCGCAGAAAGGCCTGATCCCGTGTGACGACTTCTACCAGGGAACCAAAGCCGCCCTTTCTGGAGGAACCACCACCATCAGTCAGTGACCACCAATCATCCATCAGCACCCCCACCTGCATGCCACCTCATTACTGTCTGTCTGCAGTCGACCATGTGTTGGTGGAGCCGGGGACTAGCTTGCTGTCAGCGTTTGATCTGTGGAAGGAGACGGCAGAGCAGAGGGCGTGCTGTGACTTTTCCTTCCATCTGGATGTCACCAGGTGGCACGAAGGCCTCTACGAGGAGCTGGAGACGCTCGTCAAAGATAAAGGTGATCAATAAAGGTTAAAGAGACGGGGTGGTGATCAAACTTGTAGCAGCTAATGGGACGTTTCTCATGATCGATATGCAGCCGAGTCAACAATATGTGTCATCATGGCATAGATGGAAAGTTCTAACAAGTTTTACTGGGTTCTTGATACTCCCACTTATATGTGGGGATATATAGGAAGTGTCTGGACTTTTTCCAGACTGATCCAAATGATCCTTCTTGACCCCTGAGGAAGGTTTTAGAAAACCTTTAAAATCCATCCACAAAGACCCAAATGAAATCAGGTTCTGGACCGTCACTTGGTCCATTTCTGATGCAGACCTGGAGAACATCTTGACAGCCATTTACCAGTACCCTTCACAGCAAGGCCAGAACCTTCATGATGACATCAGTAGAACAGCACCACTGACAATACCTACCTACTGACTGTACCGCTGTGTTTCAGGGGTGAATTCCTTCCTCTTCTTTATGGCTTACAAAGACCGGTACCAGAGCTCCGACTCTCAGGTGAAACACAGAAACATGTTCTTGTTTATTTGTTGTTGTCCACTTTCTGTTTATTTATTCATCACTTTCTCCTTCCTGGGGCTCAGCTGTATGAGGCGTTTGGGATCCTCCGGGATCTTGGAGCAATTGCTCAGGTCCATGCTGAGAACGGTGACATCATCGATGAGGTAACACACCTGAACAAGATGAACCACTGAACACATTCAAACCGCTCTTAACTACATTTTACTGGTTCTAAGTGGTCTGAAATGGTTTGTGTTTCAGGAGCAGAAAAAACTTCTCAGTGTGGGTATTACTGGACCTGAAGGCCATGTTTTATCTCACCCTGAAGAGGTAAAAGTACCTGAACCCTACATGGACGCCACCAGTGTGGTTTCTTTACGCTGTTCTGGTTTGGTGGGTCATTGGGAGTGATGGTTCCACCTGTTCTGCCGATAATTTCATCCACTCAGGATGGTTTTCTGTGAACAGTGGTCTCGGACTCTAGGTATCCTGCGATGACTCCCTTTTAGATGTCTCTCTGCTTCACCTGGCTCCAGTATTAGTTCACCAACAGATGATGTAGATGTAGAGTTGGACTGCATGCTAGTGAGGCAGTTTAGCCATTTAAGTGTATAGGACAAGGGATACATGAAACCGACTGGAGATTGAGACCACTGATGAAGAATAAAGGTGTTTTATTTACAGGCCCCAGATTTGACTGCTGTTGGGTTTGTGTTTCAGGTGGAGACTGAGGCAGTCTATCGGGCCATCACCATCGCCAAGCAGGCCAACTGCCCGCTCTACGTTACCAAGGTGATGAGCAAGTCTGCTGCTGATGTTATCGCCAAAGCCAGGAAAAAAGGTGAGTACCAGAACCAGCTTTCCTACAGGTCAAAGTCAGATTCTGAGGTTCAACCATTCTCCAGGAACTCATGACTTCAGCTTCTGTTGATGTCACTTTGGATCTACTCGGTGCGGAAGTCAGAGTTCAAGTCTGGAGGAAATGGACAGGTTTAGTTCAGACTTGGCAACAATCTGATCTTTGGTCTAAGGCAGTGTTTCTCCACCCTGGTCCTCAGCCCCCCTGCTCTGCATGTTTTAGATGTGCCTCTATTCTAGAACAGCTGATTCAAATGATTGCATGACCATCAAGTGCTGCAGAAGCCCGTTAATCACCCAGAGATACAATTCAGGTGTGTGGCAGAAGGGAAATACCTAAAATATGCAGGACAGGGGGGCGGTGAGGACCAGGGTTGAGAAACACTGGTCTAAGGTGAACATCTCATGTCAAACCTGACACCAGTTTCCACAGGTACTGGACTGCAGCTCCAGGTCCTGGTGCTCCACGAAGCTCTTATGTTCTGAGTATGGAACTGAACTGGTGTCACTGAATGCCTCACCTTTAAGAGTCAGATTGAACCAAACCACACCTGCTCCACCAAGCTGTAACTCTCTATCTTCAGGTGTGGTTGTGTATGGGGAGCCAATCACAGCTGGCCTGGCCACTGACGGCTCTCACTACTGGGCCAAAGATTGGACCACAGCGGCTGCCTTTGTGATGAGCCCTCCCCTGAACCCGGATCCGTCCACGCCGCAGTATCTGACCTCTCTGCTAGCATGGCGAGTACACACCTCTCCGACTCCACTTTAGCCTAGCAGCAGGTGAGTCTAACAGGTGTTTCTTTTCAGTGGCAATCTCCAGGTGACCTCCAGCGCTCAGGCCAGCTTCTCCACAGCTCAGAAGGCTGTCGGTAAAGATGACTTCACGCTGATCCCAGAGGGAACTAGTGGCATTGAAGAGAGGCTGTCTGTGATCTGGGACAGAGCTGTGGTAAGAGCCCTTCACCTGAAGCTGCTCTGACTGATGACATCACACCCAAAGGTCAAATGTTCCTAAGCTCCATGAGGAAACAAGCTAACTGCTGGTGGAAGGTCAGGTTGAACGCCACATGAGCAACTGATGTGGTTGGACAGTTGGGACTACACATGCAAATTAGCTTAGGCTATTATCTGGTATAGCACATCAAATGGTGACATTTATGTTTGAGCTGGTCAATGTTCATATCTAAAGAAAGTTAATTTTGAAAAAGTAAAACAAATAAAACTTACAGATTCTTTAACAACCTAAAATTCATGAGGTCGCCCTCTTCTGGTAGAATTTTGAAACACTATTTCCTACATGTGTGCCAATTTTAATATCTTTAAAATTAAAACGGCGTAAATGAGAATGTTATCATCTCAAACGTTTGAGAGCAGGTTTGATAGATTTGAAGGGGGATGGTGACCTGTTTTTTTTCAGGGTTCGCTGATTTCAATCTTGTTCTGTCTGCAGTCCACAGGAAAGATGGACGAGAATGAGTTTGTTGCAGTGACGAGCACCAACGCTGCCAAGGTCTTCAACATGTACCCACGCAAAGGTACGCAGCACTTCATTTCTACTGGTGAGGCTTGATGGGAAACGTTTTCCGTCCCCAGAAAGTCGGCTGATGGGTTGAAGTCATCAAGATGTTTCATGAACAGCCGGACAGAGGGGTCCGGCTTACAGGCCCATTGGTTCAGTGGGTCCAGCCTCTGAGCCAGAGTCAGTTTATGGACCTCACAGGCTAAAGTTTATTAAGCAACTGCTCCTCACAGCACCTTGGGTCAGAAGGTCAAAAAAAAAAACCAGTGGGAGGGTTTTGTTTAGGGGTGTTGCTAATCAGAAAGCACAGCCCCCAGGTGGTGACAGAGGTCATTAGGCTCCCTCCTGCCATCGCTGTCGACTTGGGGGTGGAGTTAAAACACAAACTGGGGAACCAGCCCATCTGGTAACACTCAGCCACTCATCTAAAGGATTGATCCACTTCCCCTTCCAAAACAGTGCAGAGACCACTAAACAGGCAGGTGCTCAGGAAAAAAAAAAAAAAAAGGGCCCATCTTACCGCCTTCTAGGACAGAATATGAACAAAGCCAACAGCTTTCAGAGTTTAATAAACAATGATAAATTACAAAATTGTGAGATATACAATCAAAGCTAAGGTAAATCTCTATATAGATCATACAACTATGCATATGTAAGATATTTCATTAGTAATTTCTTTCTGCAGGTCTATTTTGTTATAGGAAAGTATTGCAATATTCAAACCTGCAATTTAGCAAGATATGTAAATCAGAGCTGGTGGTTTAGCTCTGATTTACATATTTTGTCTTTACAGAATTACACTATTAAAAATGTAAACAACAAATAATTTTAGTATGTTATGTGTCAGAAGAGGGCTTAGAAAATAAGACCAAAAAAAAAAAAAAAAAAGAAAAAAGAAAAATTGAATT